TTATCTTTCTGTGGTTTTTGTTTATAAGCTAGTCTGCAACTACGCAGTCTGACCCTCACAATTTTTCACCTTATCGTAGTTTCTAAACAAAGACGAATACTTGAAAGGAATTGATGTTTACGAATCGATTATCAAGGCGTATGCATCTTACGTTGATGGTGGGAGAAGCGCGGTTTCCAGAGATGAGTTGTAATACCACAACACGTATGTTTCATTCCTTTTCTCACAGAGGGATGCCTAGTGTTTTTGCGTTGTTGAAATATATAATGAGAGATACGAAATGCCTTGATACTGGATGTAACAATGTGTTGGTGTATCATCCTTGATACTGGATGTAAACTTTGACTTTATAAAATTTGCTCATTCAGGTGTTGTCGTTAGTTTGACCGTCAATAACCCTGTTAGGTCATGATGTGGCATATGCGGGCCCCACCAATATATGTTATTTTTTGTCCGTTGAAGGGTATCTTCACGCTTCCACTTCAATTCAATGTGTGATTGAACTCGGCATTCAAGCAGGCCGTTTAACTTACATGGTATTGAAAGATACAAACTTTTGGCATTCCATCTCAAATTGTCTAAAGCTCTATCATTCTATATGTGAACTCGATAAAAGCGCTAGAGTCGGCATAGATTTTCTACATGTTTATAATAAAACGCTACCAGACAAAAAATTCACACAATAACACTTCAGAACAAACTCGAAAGTAACGATATGCTTATTTACTTGGAATATGTTGAAATGAGTATTTAACTCTAATTTATGATTTTTCTTGTGTATAGCAATAAATACATGTATGTGACATTCATATTACAACCCATATTAATGCATAAAAATTAAAGAATTAAAGCTCTCCTCGCATAAGTAAACATGCTATAAAAGGACTCAATCTTGACTTATTCCTATTAAGCAGTCCAAAAAATAAATCGTAAAAATCGGAAGAAAAAAATTTCTTAAAATCAACCTTTACCGTTCATTTCTTGAACTATCCAATAGTCCCGAACAAGTCAAAAATGTCCTAGAAGAAGCATTCAAACATGTCCTGGATAAGTAAACAGGTTTAATATTTATTTTTATTTTTTTGAAAATTTTATTAGCATTCAAAAATTGCATTCTGCACTCAACACAAGTGTATTTTTCTTTCTAATTATACAAAGTTCGAAGTACAAAATAAGATTTTTAGAATACTAATAATAATAATTTTTTCCTTATGAAAAACGCACCGTTTAAGTTGCGAAGGGAAGGAGACTAGGAGAGTGCCTCATGACTCAGTCACTCACTGCCAAAGAAATTCCAAATCATTGTTTGTCTCCTTCTTCGGCAATCGCCGCCCAGCCGGACCGTCGTCCTCCGTCCCTAAACCGAGGAAGAGACCGCGTCGATGATTCAGTGAGCGTGTTAGGGTTTTAGAAATCAGAGATTCGTGCGTATTCGAGATTGGGGATGTCTCTGAGAATCAAAGTGGTGGTGGACAAGTTCGTCCAGGAGCTCAAGGAAGCTCTGGATGCCGATATCCAAGACAGAATCATGAAGGAGCGGGAGATGCAGAGCTACATCGAAGAGCGGGAACGCGAGGTCGCCGAGCGCGAAGCTGCTTGGAAGGCCGAGCTCTCTCGCCGCGAGGTTCTTATTCCTAGTATATTCTTGTTCTCTTCAATCCAATTTTTTCAGTTCAGTCTTTTTGTCGAACACCTCGAGTGCAATTCCATTTTCTCGTTTGAATTCAATTTTTATATCATGGGTTTCTTTTTTCTGTTTATATTATCAATTTCCCATATTGTTGGTTTGATTTGAGAACCCAATTGGATGTAATGTTCAATTTTCCCCTTTTAGCAGCAGAAATGCAGAGGCAGCAGGGCAGCAATTTGTCCTGTTAATATCTGATTTATTATGCAGTTTTCATATGACCATAAGCTTTTCTGTGATTAGTTAAGGAGAGCTATTTAATCACTACTTTATGCCAAATTGTATGATTTGTAGTTGCTAATCTGTCAAACATTTACTTTTAAGTCTCAATGGAGGTGATTTACCAGTGCTTTGTGTTTTAGCCTCATGAACGTTGTTCGGTTTCAGGCAGAGATTGCCAGACAAGAAGCACGGCTGAAAATAGAGAAAGAAAACCTTGAGAAAGAGAAGAGCGTTCTTATGGGAACCGCGTCGAATCAAGGATAACCAAGATGGAGCACTTGAAATCACTGTCAGTGGTGAAAAGTATCGGTGTCTCAGGTTTGCAAAGGCAAAGAAATGAGGCATTTGAAGGGTGCAGAAAAAAAAAAGAAGCAGCTCGGTATAGCCTCGATTACATCTGATCTTCTACTTGCTTCATTTTGCAAACTTCATTCTTTGTACGAACGCTCCAATTCTGTATATCCTGACATCTCATTGCAATGAACTCCCCATGACTTGTCGTTTGCTGCGATTTAACCAAGTAAGCAGGGTTCCAGTTCTTGAAAACAAGCTAGTGTTGATATGACTGCTTCTTAACCTCAAAACTATCTCCATATCTGATGATTTAGTAAACTTGGAAAGTTCTGAGCTGCATGATTGTTTAATTACTTCTTCTGTAATTTATTGTAACATGTTGCAACCTACATTGTTTCGGATTAAGATAGTGTAAGACAAATTGCGTCGCTCAAGTTTTTGTTGGTAAACGTCGTTTGGATCTATTTTGGTCTCATCGTTCGTGGTGATTTTGTTTATGTTTAGTAAATGTCTCGGATTGAAGAAGAGAATTTACGATTCTGTTTAGAAGTTCGTTCACGGATAATGAATGACAGAATGAGAACATGAAGCACGAGACAGGACTTGTGTTGCGTATGCGATGTTATGTCCTGTCTCGTGTTTGGTGAACGTATAAATGCAGGGACTTGAGTAGTCTAGTTTATAGATGCAGTTGTTCCGGTCAACTAACCTAACCACATCATCGTGAAGCTAACTTTGTTCGGTTTGAGTATACTTGTGGATAAAAGGAAATGTTTGGGTACACTCAAGGTGCATACGGCTATGAAAGCATCCACCAATTGTGGAAGCAATTCTTGATGAGATGATGTAATTGGCTTCCTTGAATTCAATGAATTGGTTGAATAAAATTGGAAAATAGAAACAGAAAAAGCTTTTCAATTGGAAACAGACTGGCAAGTTGAAAAAACAAACATTTTATATCATCAAGTATCGACATTATGATCACGTCAACGGCATACCAACAAAATCTTATATAATCAAATACAATATTAATCGTGAATTACACATGTCTTAACATCACTAATTGCGTTGTTCGCACGAGGAAATCAACATGATTAAATGCGTGCCTTGTATTAGTTCATCTGTACGTTTCATTTTGGTTCAACCTTAGGCTTCAAATTGCATATTTCATTATGTGAGCTCGGATTAAGACATTTTGTTTTTGTTGACAACGAGCCTTAAGCCTGAAAGAAAAAGAAATATGACATAAGAATATCACGAGACTACGTGACTCAAGCTATTTGCAATTAGCAATTGATGACAAGAAGGAGGAGGTTGCTAAAAGAAGACTAAACATAAACTGCATGACAAACCCAAACGAGTCAATTCATCAATAACAAAATTCTTTTCACGGTAAAATATATTGAATTTCACAAGACCAATTTTAATGCATAAGAGCACGACAATTCAATACCAAATTCTCAGAGAGTGATTGTCCAATTTTGCATTTAAAACTAATTGTACTGCATCTGCAAGTGCAGAATCATATTCCACTTTGTGGACGAAACTATATTCCTCTGAAGCTAATCCTTCAAGCACGCAATATTAACAGATTTGGGATCATTTAGGAGAGCAAAATCCTATTCAAAAATACTTTTATTTCACCAATGGCACAAGAACCAGCAAGTTATACAAAAAAATATGACAAAAACAAACGAGTATTTTGCCTATTTTTTGCTTGATTTTCACTCTATTGTCGATTTGACACCTAATGTTGTATTTACCACGTTACATCTATTTTCCGTTTAAAAAAAAAGTCACACGTTATTTGTAAATTTTTCTTTCTTAATGTTGTTATTTTTATTTTCTTAAAACATGCACTACAAAAAAATAGATATAGATGATTTAGTTGGATTCAAACAGAGTTCAAATAAATCAAATCAAATCAAGCCGTACTAGTTGCAACTTGTGTCCGATTTCATTCGGAATTATACTTTATCAATGTAAAAATCGAACAAGATGGCTCGAATTAATTTGAGTTGGCTGGTTTGAATGAACAAATAATTATGTAAAGTGACTAATAAACAGATAAATTATTTACGCACCTTTTTCTTTCCATATGTATTCAATTATTTTTTACATTTGAACGTAATAGATCAAAAATAAAAATGTATAAAAATAAATCAAGGTGTGTAGTAAAAAAAAAACATGATAGCGAAAATCATATTTTGAAAAAAAAGTTTATAGAAATTGAAGCAATGATTCTCAATTAAAAATTTATGACTATTGTTCTATTAACTCATAAAAATGCACAGCTATGGTCCTTTTTGTCAACTTTGTTAGAATTTTTATCAGAATAAGTCACGTGTCATGCATGTGAAGTTGAATCAAGGGGCAAATATGAAAGATCAAATCAGAAAAATTGTAGCAACGGTCCCTCAACTTTAACACAATTGGAAAAATAGTCTCTCAACTTTATCAACTTTAAAACAATTGGAGCAATGATTCTTTCAACATGACTCGTTTTGATAGAATTCTGACAGAGTTGACTAAAAGAATCATAGCTACACATTTTGATAAGTTAAGAAACCAATTATCATAAATTTTTAATTGATAAACTATTACTCTAATTAAATTAAAATTGAGAGATCATTATTACAATTTTCTCGAAAAATAAAAGAGAAAAGAGTAGGAGATTCCTTATAATATCCTCGTGCGTTATTTTCCCTTGGCTTCGTATCCCCACCGACGCACGAATTGTCGCTTTTTGCCCAGTTTGCATAAAAGGGGCTCTCTTCAATCATCACGAGAAGTTGAAATTCGAAGAGAAGAAGAAGAAGATGGAGAGCGCATCAGAAATGGTGCCATTTCCACTGCTGATGACGCCGATCGAATCCAACTACAGAGCCTGCACCATTCCCTACAGATTCCCCTCCGACAACCCCCGCAAGCCCACGCCGACTGAGCTCTCCTGGATCGACCTCTTCTACAACTCCACCCCCTCCTTCAAGTAATCATCCTCATCCTCTCCCCAACCTCGCAACCTCCATCGTAAACCCTATTTCTTCGGTTTTCGTTAATGGTTTGACTGGTTTTCGGCAGGAAACGAGCTGAGTCCGACGCTTCGGTCCCTGATGCTACGGCCAGAGCTGAGAAATTTGCTCAAAGGTACACATTTTATTGATTGTTTTGCGATGGAGTGAATTGGGTTTTTGGAAGCGGTGCAATCTGTTTGTGTTTTTGCCTGAAAGGTACACTGAAATACTTGAGGACTTGAAGAAGGATCCTGAAAGTCACGGCGGCCCGCCGGATTGCATTGTAAGCTCCAAGTTTTGATTTGATTTGATTCTTCACTTTCTGTTGTGTTGTAGTAGTGATGATATAACGCCGTTGTGTTCTTAGCATTGAACTTTTTGTGATTTGTTTGGGAAATCTAGCTTCTTTGCAGACTTCGTGAGCAAGTTCTTAGGGAATTGGGATTCCAAGACATATTCAAGAAAGTCAAGGTGGGTGCTTTCTAACTGTTATTGGACGCTTTATTAGTCCATCTGTGTAGATAATTGATTGACTTGGAATTTGGAATTGCGATTGCGATTAAACACATCAGGATGAAGAGAATGCCAAGGCCATATCCCTGTTTGAGAATGTAGTGGATCTTAATGATGCTATTGAAGATGAAGTCAAGCGGGTAGAGAATCTGGTTAGAGGAATATTTGCCGGAAACATATTCGATCTTGGTTCTGCACAGGTATGTGATTTTCTTGTTGTAGAACTAGTAAATATAGGAAATTTGACTACTTGGGTTTTGGTGACGGTAAACTTAACATGCGTCAACTAATTCTTAAGGATATGCATGATACATTGTTTTTGTAACACTCCTTCCTGTTGCTAAAGCTAATCTTCATAGTACTTCGTTGGAAACTACTTGACATTTATCTTTTTTTTTATGTTCCTGAAGCTTGCAGAAGTTTTCTCAAAGGATGGGATGTCCTTTTTAGCTAGTTGTCAAAACCTTGTCCCTCGACCTTGGGTTATCGATGACTTGGACTCCTTCAAATTAAAATGGACCAAGAAATCTTGGAAAAAGGCAAGTTGCATTTCTAAGTTTTAGTAAATATTTCTGTAAGTCTGTAAGAATTTATGCCATTGTAGATGCTTCTTATGTATTAACCATTTATCTCTTTAACTTCACAGGCTGTTATATTTGTCGACAATTCTGGTGCTGATATTATTTTGGGTATTTTACCATTTGCAAGAGAATTACTCCGGCGTGGGACACAGGTTTGCTGTCAAATCTTGTTCATATTCAATGCATCTGGTTCTTATGTAGAAACCCCAGAAGTTTTTCTAGTATCCTCTCTTTCTCTAGAAAAATAGTTGCATTCTTTAGCATGTATTTTCCGAACTTGTTTCTTCCTGCCAAATAACAAAAGGCATGAAATTTATTATGAATGCTTTGTGAATGAGTTGCCTTGCTGAGCATTTTCACATGACTACCTCTTTTTATGCAGGTTGTGTTGGCAGCTAATGACTTGCCTTCTATCAATGATGTAACTTACACTGAACTGATTGAGATTATATCAAAGGTAACAGACCTGGTTGACATGTCATCTTTTTCAAAAATAAAAAAATCTTGGTTGACACTTGAAATTGATATTATGAGTGGCATTTACCAGTTGAAGGACAAGAACGGAACGCTCAAAGGTGTTGATACTTCAAAGCTTCTGATTGCTAATTCAGGCAATGATTTGCCAGTAAGGGGGTGGAAATTCTTAGTTTGTCATCAGATTGAATTTATGAGTCCGTTGCTGGACTATGAATATTGTTATAGTTGTATAACATTAGCCTCATTGGCTTCTCAATTCCTTGTAGGTTATTGATCTTTCAAGAGTGCCACAAGAGCTAGCCTACTTGGCAAGTGATGCAGACCTTGTTATTTTGGAAGGAATGGTAAAAATCTAAAAACTTTCTTGAATTATTACTTTCATTGGCTCGTAAATTAAATGTTGAACTGATTACTTATCGTTGTAGATGAAGTCATGAATGACGTATAATTGGAAGTTCTATTAGATTTGTTGAATATTTTGAGATGATGCAGCTTGACTCTTCATTGTTTTAATATAACTTAATTGCTTTTGACAGGGTCGTGGGATAGAGACAAATCTTTATGCGCAATTTAAGTGTGATTCCCTAAAGATTGGGATGGTAATGCTTCGATTCCAAATGTTGTTTGCTTCTAATGACTACTTAATAAGCATTTCTTTCTGCAGTATACTAATATTATGCAACTTCTGTTTGCTTCTCTTCTTTGTTCCAGGTGAAACATTCGGAGGTCGCCCAGTTTCTAGGAGGAAGGCTTTATGATTGCGTATTCAAATACAACGAAGTTTTGTTGAGTTGATTATGTTGATTGTTGTTGTCTGTGCTCGTAACCAAATTTATTCCAAGTCATTCAGTACATGAAGTAATAGGTCTTAGCTACTGCAAGAGCTTATATGTTTGAACTTTAAAAGTCAGCCCTCCTGTTGAATAACCCTAGCGACTATTAGGCGTGGTTACGATTATTCTCCCATACATGGTATTGTGTCCAGGTGACACAAAATCAACCTCTGTACTGTAGTTTCAATATGAAATAAGAAATTTCTGTTCTTATTCAGTCGACCTGATAACATTTTGTGTTTAATTTGATACATGAAAGAGTAAAATATACATGATAGAAGTGCTTTCACTATGAATATGTGGAAATTCTTCCGTTACTCAGAAGCGCTTTTTTTTTTTTTTTTTGGGCCAAACAACGCACTAGCACTTTTTAACTTTTTTCTGCCGAATGCATCCAGTTTTTCTACTTTCTACTGGCCAATGGAAAATGTAGTATTTTCTCATGAATTTCTTTGCCATTTTATTGAAAATTCATCACTTGTGGAAGTAGAACATAGAAGGAAAGACAAGGAAAAACAATGGTTTTCGGTCATCAGGGGACATCCAATTCAACATATCATTTCTTTTTGGTAGGATATGAAGCCATCTTGTTAATACCACAGATTCCTTCTGGTTTCCCTGTGTTCCTCTTCATCCTTATGTATCCCTTTTCTCCCCACTTTGGCCCCCATGAGTTCTTCACAATGATGTAATCTAACCCCTTCTGAGTTCCATACCCGACCGCTGCTACACCGTGATCTAGCTCGGTTCCACAACGCCCGTTGAAAACCCCCTGAAAAACCAACAGTTCGTCCTTCGATTAGTAAATAATTAATGCATTTTAGGCATTAATAGAACTGTATATGGACACTAGCTCACCCCGCTATAGAACTGGAAATCTCTGCCAGAGGCCTCAATGCCCACGCTGAGAGGCTGGTTTGCCAGTGCCTTGAGGAGAGCCTGTTCGTTGTTTTCCGGCACATCTTGGTACCCGGTGATAGTCACTACGTCTGACTCCGCCTGAAGATAACACAATCAAACGTAAGATTAAGAGCAGTGATGATCCGCTGATAGCTAAATTTTGATCTGAAAATATATGTTTTACCTTCTTTCCCTCACAAGTTCCTTCCTCCATAATGTAGGGGTAATCATCCTCCTTGTGGAGCCCACCGTTGGAGATTATGAACTCAAATGCATAGTCCATCAAGCCTCCGTTGCAGCCATTGTTGAATGCTTTGTCGCAATCTATCAGCTGCTGCTCAGACAGGGATGTTAGGTTTCCTGTGACTATCTGGTTTATGCCCTCAACTGCAGCAACAGTGGAAAATGCCCAACAGCTACCTGCATTTTTATCATCATAACTCATTTTTTTTAGAGAGAGAGAGAGAGAGAGAGAGAGAGAGAGAGGGTAATTGGCACTCTACATCGACTGTTACTGAGGAGCTAATTTCGCCTAATCCTCTTAGGCTCATATAAAAAAGAAGAGAGAGAGAGAGAGAGATTTCACATACCACATGAACCTTGGTTCTTGATGGAGGTTACAGCTCCCTTCTTTCGCCAGTCCACGGATTTGGGCAATGCCTCTACATCAAAATCCCGGTAATTGAAATCTCCGGTGGACTCTCTCCTTCTGGGGAACTCAGACTTGAGACCCAAGTACTTGCTCTTGAACTCCTCATGGCTCAAGTCAGCAAACTCATTCACACCAAGCCAGTAGCTATCGACATCGAGGTTCTTATTCCTCTCATCAATGTGCTTCACGTTGTCTCTGAAAATCTCAAACCTATGCAGCTTCTCCTCCATGCTTTCATAAATCTTGCCATGCTTCGATATCCACTTCTCGAAAAGCATGATGAACTTGTCCATGCAGGTCAAGTCCTCCGGAGAATATCCCACGATCGAGAACTCATGAGCCAGAGCAGAACCGAGAAAGAGAGGCACAAGGAAGGCGAGAAGGGAAATCTTCGAAAATGCCATTTTTTCGACGAGAGAATGAGAGAGGTAAAGAGAGGAAGAGATGGATGAATGTGAGGGAGGGAGGGGAGGGAGTGGATTTATATAGTGTTTGATACTTGTGATTAGGTTGCTTTCAAGTGAAGTGGTAGGATTTTTTTTTTCTACAATACTGAGCCTTTACGGTTGGTTCTATTGGGCAGGCTTTTGTCCCAAGCAAGCTCATTTGTTTAAACAAAGCTATGATTTACATTCCTTTTTCCCTTTTTACTCAATTCGAGATAGTACCCGTACAGTGGTTAATGTTAGCGAGAAACACTTTGATTATCAAAATACAAAAGAAAATTTCTCACTTGCTAACCGTTAATGTCAAGTGCAACATAAGTTGAGTTTGACACTTTAAACTGTTTTGAGCTTCTTTTCCTAATTGTTGTTTTTTTTTTTTTTGGTCAATTATTTTCCTAATTGTTAGGTGTATTTCTGAATTATACACCATCTTCAATCCTTAAAGTTAAGTCATGAGGTGCTTTCACCTTGGTAATTCTTTTATTTTTGAAAAATACTACTACTTTTTCTTGGGTAAGATGTTAGGCCATCTCCAACCAACCCAGTCAAAGGACAATAGGACTAAAAATAGGTCGAAATGACACGAAAATCGTCTCCAACCGAGGATTAGGCCAAGGGTTTGTGGACCCCACGTGCCAAAACACCCAAATCAGGTCAACCAGCCAACCCTCCAGCCCAACCCACTTACCCTCCAATGGCTACCTGGCGTCAGCATGACGCCAGGTAGCTGACATCAGGTTACCTTTGAAATTTGATATATATATATATATATATATATATATATATTTTGGACGAATTTAAAAAAAAAAAAAAATTAATTTGTTTTCCTATAAATACCTAAGACATTCCTATACCATTTCTCACATACTTTTCACCTTTCCATACTATCCGAAAAATTATTGAGATTATATAAAGATAAGAAATTTGAAGGCTTATTCATTTAGCAACTAGTGGCACTCAAAATATGTCCGAAAACCTTATTTTAATATGGTAGTTTAATTTAATTAACCATATTAATTCAATTAAAATAATAAATTATTGAGGGGGTTATGTTTAGCCTATGGTCCTTTGGCCCCCTGGGTTGGAGATAAGTTTTTCATCAAGGGGCTATGTTTGGCCTATAACCCTTTGGCCCCCTCAGTTGGAGATGGTATAAAATATGGTTTGGCACTTTTTATTAAAATATAATTTCTTGCAAGAATATAGGGTTGAACATGGCCCTTTGCCCCTCCTTCGGTTAAAAATGATACTGATGAAAATTTGAGGCAAAGTCACGGTTTTAATAATCGCGGTAGAATGTAGATACAAACCTTCTGTCAAGTTTGTTAGTTAATGTGCTTCCCTTCATTCAATTTCAAATCTTATCTATATGGTTTAGATGTGTTCGGTGTATATTATTTTATCGTTTGTATAGAAGTAAAATCATAACAGATTGACATAAATTTGAGTTTTGTGATACTTTTCGGTTCGTCTTACGGTAAAAGTTCACATTGTATAAAATCATGTCCCGAAGCTTGTTACAAATGCTCCCTTTTTTGTGTAGTGTCATAGAGTCGCATTGAAAATTCAAAGCAGTCTACCTTACTGTACGAGACTTGATTTTGGTGGGTAACTTCCAAACTAGGAAAATTCGAAGCAGAATCCTACCACTGTACAATTTGATTTTCTTTTTTCGACAAAATAAATTCATCGCCAACACAGCAAATTTATACAAAAAGAGCGCAACTACAAGATAAACACAAAAGTGAAGGAAACGAAAACTACAAACGCATGAGATCGGTCCAACCAAAGCCCCAAAAGTGAAGGAAAAGAAAACTCCAACATCCTCCACAGAGTACCACAAAGATTGCATCTAGATGGATGTGGGACCGAGGAAGAACGGAGCCAAGTGGGTTGATGGACAGCAGGGAGTGGAAGAAATGGGAGATCGGAATTGAGGGCTGAGGATTGTGAAATCTAAGGCAAGAAGGGGTGGAGGACAGGGAAGATCGGGATGGACAGCAGGGGGAAATGCAAGCTAAGGGAAAACGAAAGAGGAAAAGCAGGGGATTGCCACCTGACCCTGGCCGCAGGTAGGGTCATTGGCGTCAAGGTTGAAGAAACGGTAAACACTCCACGACGGCAAGAAGAACTCTCACAGAGAGAGAGAGAGAGAGAGAGAGAGAGAGAGAGAGAGAGAGAGCAAACGGGACAGAACTGTAATCCATACAATTTGGTTGTTTTGATGGTAAGTTCCAACCTAGTGGCTGTCGAAAGTAATTAGAACAAGTGATTTCACAGATATTTACACCAGAACATGAGTAGATTGAAGATCTCTTATAACCTTATTTTTGTTGAAATATTAATTTAAATGTCGATCGATGAAACTCTACAAGAAATTCAATAGATGAAATGTCAATTGGTTATGTTTTACAAATGGAACTCATCAACAATCACAACTAAGGCAAATGTCGGTCGATGAAATTCTACAAGAAATTTGAAGTATCTATGGAAAACTAACCTTGAACCCACTAATATTGAATGAATTGAACACAAATTACAGGAGACAAGTATGTTACTTGTCAATCTAATCTGAATTTTGAATAAGTATTCATGACATATATGGAGAATTTGAATGGAGCAAGACAAAAATATCTGAGTAACCTAATCCTTTACACTGACTGTAGAACTAGGCGGAGAAGGCGAAATGAAGTCGTCATTACCTAACCTTCCCAATTGAATGCAGATAAACCGCCACTGAGACAACGCTGGAAACAAGAAAGAAACATAGATCAGCTATTGTATTTCTCATGATGGCTAAACAGATGTTTCCCTTACTTTTATTGTGAAAAATGGTAACTATTTGCGATCAGTGACGGTTTCAAGAATATAAATCAAAATACAAACACCTACTACCAAATTGTCAAAAATATATTTTGACAAGTTGATTATGGCCAAGCCACTCCCAACCCAATACATATGGCATGGCACATGACAGAATTGAATGGGTCTGTAGGACTCAACTATCTGACGATAAAGTATAGAACATAGATGTTTCATGTGAGCAGAGGAAACTTACGTCGAGCCAAGGAAAAAGGCGAGCGATAGATGAAAGCCAAATAGAAACACAGAAACAACTGCTGTAAGAAGCATTGCAACTGAAGTAGAATACACCTGCAGAAAGTAGCTAAATTAAGATCGAATTTTCGTAGAAGGCCAGGAAATATTCAAGGTGTGATT